ATACTTTTTGCTCTGTATTCAACAACATCCACGACGATCTTTATAACTATCTAGATCACAAATCAAATTTCCAATAGATAAATCAATTCGGTGGCAATTCACAAAATTGATGATATTGACTGATTATTATATAATGCTTCCATTTTGTATATAATAGAGGCAAATCACTGAATAGTAAAAAGAAGCCAATATATGTTCGCACGACTGCTATATCGAAGATAATGAATAAGCATACTTACGTCTCACTATTGAATATGCTGTAGTAAACGATGTTTCATGCTTGTTTTATTTCGATATATTCAAGCATGAAAACATGTGCAATACAGCAGAAATTTTTTCAAAGTTATTCTCGTATGCCACACCCTGCTAAGCTTATTTAAATACTGCTGCTGAATATGGCAAAGAAAATACTCCGTGTTTTTCACAAAACTGGATTCAATTTGCCTGAAACGAATAGAATGTGAGAGGTCTATATATTCATGCTTTTGAACAATCACTGATTCGACGATCAAACAGTTAATGTGTCGAGTACTTTGATAGAAAAAAAATAAGCATGCAGAGTTTAATTGTCGATGTGTTTCATAATTCTTATTAAGAATTCTTCATTGATGTTCTCCATTCAAATCCAAATGAAGACGAGTGTTGAAAGAATCCATCTGGTTTATCATTTTGGGTGGAAATAATAAAAAAAATGTTCAAACTCTTCTGGTCCATTTAGATTTACATCTTCTCTATACATCCTCTTGACATTTTTCTATCTAGGGAATGGATATAGATGTGTAAATAAATCTTTTCTGCTTCTAGAATTACAGTCACGCTGACTGTACACTAACTTTCTTAGCGACAGCCATACACACTCACACCCTCATACATGACTGTCAGAGAAAATGACTGGTATTCTTGTAAACTAATAGTTCTTGGAAAAGACTTTTGATAACTTAGTCATTAAAGAGTCATGAGGAAATATAACATATTTTACACAAGCGGAATATAGACAGAGTTTTTAATGCTCTCTACTTTGATCTATTTTTTATTATAATTTGGATCAAATAGTTCGAAAGAATTGAGAAACATTGAGTTTTCAAGTTGAAAAAACTTTGCAAGAGCTGTTCATCCTGATGTTTGGTTTTGCTTCCTTCTCACGCTCATCCTGGAAAAAAATATGCGGTACAAAATTCGCAGTTTAGACATATAGCTCTATTCAATAACCATGTTTGATATGTGAATAAAGACTTATGCATCGTATATTATTCGATTGTCTACTTGTTCGTCTTCATTTAAAGATTTTTTCACCTCCACATCCATTCCTAAATACTTTGTTGAATTAAAAATGTAACCCGTGAAATGGTCAGCAAGAAATAGAATATCAAAAAAGTGTAACAGAACAGCAAAGCTGTCTTTCTCGAATTAGATAAAAAATTAGTCTTCAAATCGATGTCATCGATACATCCATTGATTTATATCAAATATCATTATTGATAAATTAATTTTGTTTATTTGATAATTATTATATCGGTTTTCTGAATCAGTGTTGTAAATCAGATGCAGCAAAATCTTCTTTTTAATAAATAAATAAATAAATTGAACAAAATTATAGAAAAATTAAATAAAAAATGAACTGTTTGTCAAATAGTTTCAACAATTAATTGTGTAAGTTTTTATTGCTTTATTTGTTGTAACGGTTGACGTTGATATAAATAGATTAATGGTCCAATCAAAGGAACGAAGCAAAGATAGTAATAAAATTGAAATTGATTATTCTGAGTCATTTTTCTTCGTGTTAAGTCATCTGTAATTAAACAAGGAAATAAACATGAAACAACAAAAAAATCGATCGTCATTATATGAATAAATTGATTGGTCCAAAATTCATGAAGAAATATATGAATATCACCAAATTTTACAGCAAAAACTATCAAACTCATAGTAGAAATCATTAAAATAATAGCAATTAATTTGGACTCAAAAATACGAATGAATAAATTTATTTTATATTTTTTTATATTATCACCACGACGTAAAGCAAAATATGGTAAAAGTATGAAACCACCTAATGCCATAGCTAAGATTGAAGCTACAGTTCCATTCAAACGTTGATTTTGACCATCAATTAATAAGATTGACATATAAACAAGTGGCCAAATACCTAAATTATTATCAACAGATATCGATCAACAATTTACGTCTAATAGAAATCGATGAGACATTGTATTTAATTTGAGTGAAGGAAAATTTTTTTAATTTAAAAATCTATTCGATTGAACATTTGTATTGAAAGGAAATAGTTTACGACAAAAACAAATTCTTTTTTCAGATCGATCAAAAAGAAAAGAAATATTTATATTTTATCTTTCAAACATTTTTCATAGATGATCAAAATCAAGATAAAGTAATTTGATTTTCTTATGTAATTAAGAAAATTAATCAACTCAATCGATTAAATTAATTTTTTCTTAGAAAAAAAAAAACAACTTCTCTCCTGTAGTTTGCTTTTTATAAGTTTAACTTTACCTAAAAAGTAGAATAAAGCTATAACATAAGGTTCAATATCATTCCATGGTCCAAACATCAATTGTTTTACATATACAAAGGTAGATTTTGTTGTTTGGTCATATTTTGGTGCTAATAATATGCTATAAATGAGAAATATACACCAAATTATCCAAAATATCTTATTTGATACCATCTCGATGATTAATATTTTCTAAAATAAGATTTAAAAAAAAAACGATTTCTTTTCCATGTATTCGTTTAACAAGTGCTCTTTAGTGAATATGCGGCAAAATTCAAAGTGTTGCTGGCCCATGATCAAAAGTGTTTCATCTTCTATTATTACTATTATATCAACAGGTGAAGCATTCACTTTAATGTCACTATAACATACAATGAAACACAGTAGGACACCTGCTCAACGAATATCCTTTTCTTTTTATTTTAATAAAAAAATATTTACTATATCAATCGTCAAGATATAATTTATCTTAGTGAATCATATAAAGAAACAATTTTATGTAAATTCAAGAATAATTTGAAAGTAAAGTTCTTCTTAACATATTGTCAGTAAAGAATTAATTAAAACTCATTTTCTTATGACAACAATTTTCAATCCAAGAAACTTGTTTTCTAAATGACAGAATGACATTCAACTGTTGATACAATATATTTTATTATCAAAACAAAATTAAACTCCTAAAGATAGGAATAAGCCATCTTTTCTTTCTGAAATTTTTCTTTAGTGAAAAAAAACTTCATCAGATCAAAAATTTTCTCAAGAACTAAAACAAAACCAAGAAATATGATTGGTCCTAGTCAATTGCAATGTCGAATAACCATTCATATCTCTTGATTTGTTTTGATTTCTATCAAAGTTTTTAGTATATTATTCTTACTGCTGAGGTTCATGTCAATGGTTAATAAAAATTTCTTATGAAACTAACCTTTTTCTATAACATATTGATAATAGTGAGCGGATATACCGCCATCTTACGAATGTTGTCACACTTGTAATGAGAATATCATAACGAAAAAAATAGATTCAAAATTTCTTCATGTTTCAAAGATTTTTTATTATACGTTTGTTGACTTTGACAATATATTGAATTTAATTTCATCTTAACCCTTTACCCCCACCCTTGGTCACCGAAGTGACCACTTGTAGAAAAACTGTGGAAAATCAAAGACGCACGTAATTCAAAAACTCTAAAAGCATTTTTGTAGTCAACTTCGTGGTCTATTAATAGGTGAAAAATCTATATTGTTTCAGTGCTCTATTTCCAAGATGTGTCACTTACAGACCGATAAGTTTTAAAAAATGGGCAAAAATTGAAATTTTAAAAAGAAGTTTTATTTCTTCTTATAGCTAACAGCAACTTCAGGAGCATGCTATGTGATATAAATAGATCAACGTGTCTACTAGTGAATTAATTGTGTTTCGAAAGTTTCACAACAATGTGTCAAATAAGAGTTGACAATGTAAAAAATGGTTACTCCAGTGACCATTAGGGTGTAAAGACATGAAAAGCGTCATTTTTGTATGTATTATTTCCCAACATAGTTATAATATATTTTTGACTAGTATGCATACTTAAGCCAATCGTTGAAGTTTTTTCATAGATACAAGCATTTTTGTCTCTATCAGCCAAGGACGACAGGATTCAGACTCCCTATTTCATTGATATCGGACTCAGAACTGAAGTCAAAACGTTTTTCTCATTGGGTCAGGATTCAGCTCGATATATTGAAAGCAAATAACTCGGTCTCTTATCGATGATGCACCGTCGCCTAGACATGAATAGGGCGATCCTAAGTTCAATTCTAGCTTCGTTTCCGACCGGATAGCCCCAAAACTGAAAACAGAACCGAGCTTCTCATGTCTAATAATGCCGAATAATGCCGAATAATGCTCATATCTATAAATAATGTTAACTGCTAACCTAATCAAAGACAGTTATCAAGAAAAAATAATAAACATATACGGATCCAAAATATTAACAAAGTCAGTTTTCATATCGTTCCTTCCCAATGGTCACTTGAGTGGCCAAGCTGCCGAGTACGACAGGTAGCATGCCTAATTGATTTGCTAATATTATTGACATATTGAGGGGACCGGTACTCTGTTACTGTAGTTATTTTATCAGTAGCTCTTCTGAAACCGTTATGGGGAGGATAAAGGGTTAAATTCTATTTTTCATTAAAAATTCCATTCAAATATATTATTTTTTGTTGTTCGAAAATTTGTCATAAAATTTAGAAAGAAAATTGAATAAGAAATCTCGTTTTGCATTTGCAGTGACCAAAAATAATGATTTAGGCCTTTCAATACAAAATATTAATAGCCAAGTAAAACATAAAAAGAACTTGATTTGTTGATGAAAGTTTATTTATTGATAGTAAACATTGTTAAATACACCTTATGTGATCACCAATCGATGAATAAACACAAATAGAAATAAACTGTAAATAACAAAACAAAAGTCCTAATAACTCAATGAAAAAATCAATTAATATAGAAATTTTCTGAATTACTGATAAATAATTATTTATAACAAAATTATAGAAAAATTTAAAAAAAATGAACTGTTACATCAAATGTTTCCAAGAATTAATTGTATAAGTTTTTGTTAATTTGTTTGTTGTAATGATTGACGTTGATAAAATAGATCGATAATTCAATGAAAGGAACGAAGCAAAGTCAAGATACAATTGAAATTGATATTTTTGAGTCATTTTTCTTCGTTCTAAATCATTGACAATTAGACGAAGTAATAAAAACAAAATAACCCAAAAAAATCGAATAGTCACTCCGTGAATAAATTGATTGGTCAAAAATTCACAATAAAATACACAAAAATTAGCAAAGCTTACAGCAAAAAACTATCAGAACAACGGTATACTGCAACGTAATATGAAATTTAGCAAAAGGATAACACCACCTAATACCATTGCTAATAGTGAAGCTACATTTCTATTCAAACGTTGATTTTGACCATCAACTACTAAGATTGAGATATAAACGAGTGGTCAAATACCTAAATTATTATCAATAGATATCGATCAACAATTTACTTCTGACAAAAATCGATATGTTCATCTTTTTTACTTTTCAAATATTCAAACAACAGAGAATTGTTATGTCTTTCATAAGGGTTTTCAAATATATAAATCCATTCAATTGAACAATTGTATCGAAAGAAAATCGTATACAGAAAAAAAAACAAATTCCCTTTTCTAATCATTCAAAAAGAAAAATATTTATATTTCATTTTTCAAATATTTGTCATAGATGATCGAAACCAAGATAGAATAACTTGATTTCATTTTGCAATCGAATGAGTTAATCAACTCATTCGATTAAATTAATTTTATCTGGAAAAAAGACTTTACTCTAAGAGCATTTTATTAGTTTAATTTTACCTAAAGAATAGAATAAAGATATAATATATGGATTGATATCTTTCCACGAAACTAACATCAATTATTTAATATCAACAAAAGTAGCTTTCATTGTTTAGTTATGTTTTTCTATTGATACTATGTTATCGGTGAGATATATACACCAAATTATCGAAAATATCTTGTATAATGTCATCTCAATGATTCATATATTTTCTAAAAAAAAAGAACTTAAGCAAAGATTTTGTTTTTTCGATACAAAAAAATTTCCTATATCAATAATCAAAATGTAATTTTCGGTAATTTATTTTAGCAAGACGCATAAAAAAATTTAATTATGTAATCTAACAATAAGGAAAGAAAAGCTTGATAGCAACACTCTTTTTAATCTGTTATCAGTACAGAATTAAGAAATATATATTTTGCTGTAGTATCAATTTTCAATTCGAGAAATTTGTTTACTGAATGATAAAATATTTTTTATTTTGAAAACCAAGTTAAAATCCTACATATAGGAATAAGTCAAGCAATAGAAAGATCAAATCCGATATTTTCTATTATGTCTTGTCTTTTTAAAACTTTTCTTTCTTAAAAAGAACTAAATCATAAAGAATTTTAAAAGGCCAAAAATTTTAGCAAAAACCAAAACAAAACCAAAAACAAGCTTGATAGATTATAGTCTGTTTCAATTTCAAATAATCATTCACATTTCTTCATTTTGTTATGATTTTGTTCAAAGGTTTTAGTATATTATTCATAATCTTAAGTCATGTCGATGCCTAACAATAATCTCTTACAAAACTTATCTTTTCTTGTCGAGTTATAACAGTGTGAAGATGTAACATCATGTTTAGAATGTTGTCACAGTCACATTGAAAGGATAATAGGAAAAAAATTGATTCGAGCTTCATTGGTATTTCGAAGATTCTTAGTTATATATATGTTGACTTTTACAAGAGGTCGAATTCAATTTCATCTTAAACATTATTCTTTATTAAAAACCTAGTTCAAGCATCTTATTATAATTTTTTCTGAAATTTATCATCAAATTTAGAAAGAGACATATGAAATTTGGCATAGCACTTTTATTGATCGAAAAGGATAATTTATTTCTCTGTATAAGATACTCATAGTCAAGCATGACATAAGACGAGCTTAATCTCTTAATGAAAGTTTATTTATAAATAAAAAACCATCTTAAATACAGTTGATGATTGTACACTGATCAATAAGTAGATTTTATTGAAAAATTCGATCGATTAACTGAATATAATTCAAAAAAAAGTAATTTAAAAGTATGTTAACCTTTGTTTGGAAAAAAGGTTGAGAGAAAAATCAAATTTATTTATTGTTCTGTACATGGTTATTTCCTTTGCAGCGTCGATTTGATATAGAAATCAATATTAAAACAAATTTGAGATTTCAATATGATAATGCTAATCATTGGTATTATTGAGAATTATTTTTTCTAGATCTAAGTTATAAATTTTAACTTAGCTGAAAAAAGAAATATTGAACATGAAGACAAGTTTTGAACATGTGATATATTATACTAAATAGTAAGCTTGATTAATTAATGTCACTTTGTTACAATTTTCACCCTGATATCAATTCAATACAATCTCTAATCAATAATTCATTACAAGATCATTAAAGAAAAGTCTTTAACAAATGAGG